CCATGCCGCATCCTCAGTGGGAACCTGGTGTTTTCTCTTTCATGCGTTCGATGCCGGGGGGCTCGGAACAGGAGCCCCACCAAGACTATCAAGAGAGTGACTTGGTAAGAGCCCGTGAGCATCATCCGGGCGGTGTTCCTGCCAGCATGATTTTGCACTGGAGCCTGGCACGAAGCTTCGCATCTACGTCGGTTGCTTTACTGCGAGAGACGACTCCAAGGCGCGCGTCGTGGAAATTCCTGTTGGATTCTGTGTGCTGTTCAAGGGCGACCTTATACACAACGGAATGCCATACACCACGACGAACTACCGCCTTCACTGCTACCTGAGCTACGCGGGGATGAAATGGACACCGGATATCGTTCAAGACGCGCTTCCGCAACATGGTGAGTGTCAGTATTGTGGCGAAAAGGTGGAGAAGGGTCAAGCGCTTCGGAAACACCGGTTCTATTGTGAGAAGAACCCCAAGGGGGTTGAGAACCGACTGAAGCGCAAACGTGAGTACAAAAAAGGTGAGTACAAGTGTGAGGTTTGCGATAAGATGTTCAAGCACCAGAGCTCTCTACGCGTCCACAAGATGAGAGAACTCTCTGCTTAATATTGTAGGTTTGTAGGGTAATTTTGAATAAACGGAACTTGACGACCACCTGATTGGATAAATACCAATTATACTCGGATTTAATTGGTCGAGAACTTCAACTTGGTACAGCGTTCCCGTTACAAATTTTCAAATTAGTACGAAGGCTCCCTGTGTTCCCTGTGGTTTGTTGTTTAGCGGTGTCATGTGTAATATACTGGTGGATTTACAAATGTGTTTACACAACGCCTATTCTTCTGCTATGTTCTGCTCCGAGTAAGGTGCTCTTCCTGCATGACCCCAGGGCTTGGCTGGCAAAAAAGCGGCTTCAAATGGCACAACTTGGTCATCTGCTTGAGTACCGAAAACTTGGGGATCCTGCGCGGCATTCCGTGTAGCCCTTGGAGGTGTGGCAGGGTGATTTGATCGACTCGTTCGCTGTATGTCGGGTCACGACCAGTTCCTGTACTACCTTGGTTTGCTAACCTCATTCTGCGTGTGCTTTTCTTGAACTTACCTTGTTGCAGAGTAGCAGGGTCTTGAATTCTTTGAGGGGCTGTACCACCATTGCGGTAAATCCACCAGTGTTTGTCGAAATCATTCGGAGTGATGAACTTCCTTCCATTTGATTTGATGATTGCAATAAGCTCGTGGAAACAGGGACGCCCATGGACAGCACGGAATTCCCCCGAGCATGCACTGCGTTCAATACGACCATTGACAATTTTCTCCGCATCCGTCCACAATCTCTCTGTCTCTCTCAAAGCGCTCCTCGTGATAATCCTAACAACCCGATTGTATCTGCTCTTTTGTCGCAAATGAGGAGCAATAGTTGCATGCTGAGTCATGAGTAGACTTGTTTCGCAAGCTGCAATTGTCCACCAGCTTAACTGCTTCTTGAAAACTGTGTACAGATCGCCTTGGCTTGATTTCAACTTGGCTTTGATCTTGGCATGCGTTCCCTCGACTGTAGATGTTCCTCGGACCCCAAAGTGGGTCTACTTGCTTGTGCAGTATCTCACAATGCGCGACTTGTACTTCCACCAATGCAAATCCAGATAGTCAGACACCACCTTACTCTTTGAAACGAGAACCTTG